ACCTAGGTTACCCCTGTAACTCTTCAGGATAGTTAAATCCAAAGCTAATCCTGAATAACTGTATATCACCTGCAAACTTTGGTGGATTGTTGAACAACAAGGCTTCCATGCTACAGAAGATAATGTTTCAAGTGATCCAAAAATCAAGTCTCAGCTTTAAAATTTCATCTTACCTTTAGATTTCTTTCTCTGCAGTGTGACTGCAGTCAAATAATACTAGTCATTTGTCCTCTGGTGGTGGTGGGGTGATATTTTTACAACGACATTTTAGGGCTGCAGAACTGAACTCTTAAATTGCTAGATAGTCTTGTCAAGTATTTCAAAGATGTGACAGAAGTTCGAATCCAAGGAGAGCAGAAATGGGACTAAGACCCCTTTTGGCATGAAGACTTGTTGAACTGCAGTCGGCTGCATAACAGCACCAAGCCAATTTATCTACTGTGGATTGTATACGACGTTGGCTTTTGTATCAGTGTCCACAGATTCTCACTAAAACCAGGGAAAAAAAAGTGATTCCCAAAGGGCTACATTGTGTTCTTGGGAGATATGAAGGAAAAAGTGATTCTTACTCCACCAGAGTAGAGAGGACCCCAGCCAGTAACATTCTTGGTAGCATCTGGGGTTGAAACGAGGAAAAGGTGTTCCATATCTAACTTATTGGAAAGGAATTCCCTTCCAGAGAAACCATTTAGTAAATAGGGTCAAGCTAGCTTGCTGTCAGGATGCAAGAGGCAGCCAAAGCTGACAATGAGCATTAGGGCTTGAGAGTGAGCGGAGGAAGCAGGTGGAATCTGAGGCGCAAGAGCCGCGTTCCAAACAGCTGAGCAGACATTATGCTTTCCTCTTGTCACGTTGGAGCAGCTGACTATGGACTCTTAACAGGGAAAGCTGAGACAACAATGGAAGAGCAAAGGGTGTTTCCTAAACTGCCCGGCTCTTTCAACGATCAGGCTACAAGTGGAGAAAAAGTAACAAATTGTTACATGCCAACAGGCAAACTAAATACATAAAAAGCCCATTGGATTTATAGAAGAGACATTGGCAAGTAATGTGAACATTTGAAGCCAAAGTGATTACAGCATTAGCTACAGCCTCCCTCCCACCCTTTGCCATATCCCAAATTAATATAATGTCTTTTGGCCGAGTAGAGTTGCAGCAACGTTTTAATGCTTAAATAGGTCAATAATTACAATCACATGTCAACTGCGCAATACACTATCCTGATGATGTGTTAATATATAGCAACCTGGGGACAGAGTCTACAGAATGTGGCTGCTGTTTTATAGCCTTCCCAGAAGGTGGTTTTAACTGCTATCTCCTAAGCCACCTCTCGAGAATAGGAAGACTGGTATTATAAACTCATAGAACTGCAAGGGACCTCAAGAGATCATCTAGTTCAGTCCCCTGCATTCATGGCAGGGCTAAGTATTATCTTCTAGTCTATCCCTGACAGATGTTTATCTAACCGGCTCTTAAAAATTGCCAATGATGGAGATATCACAACCTCCCTAGGCAATTTATTCCAGTGCTTAAACACCCTGATTGTTAGGAAGTTTTTCCTAATGTCCAACCTAAACCTCCCTTTGCTACAATTTAAGCCCATTGCTTCTTGTCTCATCATCGGAGGTTAAGAACAACATTTTTTTTCTCCCTTCTCCTTGTATCACCCTTTTATGTTCTTGGTAACAATTATGTTCCCCCCTCAGTCTTCTCTTTTCCAGACTAAACAAGCCCAGTTTTTTCAATCTTGCCTCATAGGTCATATTTTCTAGACCTTTAATCATTTTTGTTGCTCTTCTCTGGGCTTTCTCCAGTTTGCCCATCTCTTTCCTGAAATGCAGTGCCCAGAACTGGACACAATACTCTGCGCAGAGTATAGTGGAAGAATTACTTCTTGTGTCTCGCTTATGACACTCCTGCTAATACATCCCAGAATGACGTTTGCTTTTTTTGCAAGTGTTAAATTGTTTACTCATCTTTAGGTCATGGTTCTCGATGACGCCCAGAACTCTATCCGCAAGACTCCTTCCTAGCCATTCATTTCTCATTTTGTATTTGTGAAACTGTGTATTCCTTCCTAAATGGAGTACTTTCATATTTTACATTAGGGTTACACTAGGGATGTTAACTGTCGATTAATTAACTAATGGAATAGTCCATAGGGTTTCCTTAGTCGATAAGGACTAGCGTGGTGTTCCACCTTTGAAATACACAAGAGCCCCAACAGGGGCTTTTGAGCATTTCAAAGACTGAAATCCATGTGGAGCCAGGGGCCAGTGGGAAGTCCCCCGCTGACCCCGGGCTCCATGCAGCATTTCAATCTCTGAAATATACAAGATCCCCAGTAGGGACTGATAGAGGCAGCAAGTGTGTGTGTGTGCATGTGGGGGAAGCGACTAGTCACTTACACCATTAATGAATGAATTGTTAAGTGTGAGGTTAGCAAATGGAGAAGACAACCAGGATGTTAAAGTCTAGCACTGTGTATGTTATATATGCTAAAGTTCTGGAAATAATTTTGGGACCAGTATTGTCACCGTTTTAGAATTCTAGCAGAGCACTACTTCTATCTACAGTAACTTTGCCCTTGAAAAGGGACACATGGAAGAACCCAGCTTGCCTATGAAAAGAAGCTATTGTCTTTATTGTGATGAGAAATGAAAAAAGATCATGCATGTTCAAGTGTGACTCTCCATATGTGCTAGGGCTACCTGTTATATTTTAAAGGAATGTTTCACCAGATCTACAACATATTAATCTGGGTGGCAAACTGTAGGAACTAACCTGTAAAAGAAAAGCCTCCAATTGTCAGTCTGAACAATCCCCTCCTGTTCTGAAATGTGATTTGTCCTTTTCATATTTGTTCATTTTTTTTAATTGTATCCTTTGGTATATATGGTTGTGACTACTTTCTTCCACTATTTGATCTGAGGAAGTGGGTCTGGCCCACGAAAGCTCATCATCTAATAAACCATCTTGTTAGTCTTTAAAGTGCTACATTGTCCTGCATTTTGCTTGAACAATGAGGTCCTTTCCGGTATGTAGAAGAAAGCCCTCTCCATAGGGCAAAAACAGAGCTTCCTTAGGCCTTGTCTACACTAACACCTCCTCTCCCCTGCTCACTCTAACCTATGCAACTTCAGCTACAAAAATAGCACAGCTGAAGTCGACATACTTACTGTGGTGTTTTTTGTGCAGTACGGTCAGTGGGGCCAATAGGCTCTCTTGTCAACTTCAGCTACTCTACTCTTCCTGGTGGAGTAACCGAGTTGGTGAGAGAGCACTCGGAGATTGATTTAGCATGTCTAAGAAGACGCAATAAGTTGACCTCCAGTGGATTGATCACTGTAGCATCAATCCACCGCGTAGTGAAGACAAGCCTTTAGTGAATCACCTATATGCGGTTTGTCCCCCACCAGCTCTTTTAACGTGACCTGTATGTCATGACTAAGTTCAAATGGACCAGTAAGGAGATGGCTTTTCACATGAAAGCTGCTGCTGAGCCCCATAAGCCAGCTGTGCTGTAGCATGAGTAATCTCTGTGTGCTGATGGCAGTCTTTCAGTTTGTGTTCTATCTGAAGATAGCCACATTTCCGCTGGATAGTTTGGAATAGTGCAAAGGAAATTCTCATTTTAACAGCTCATCATCACCCCAGGTGGCTGCCTTACTGGGTCTCCTACCAAACAAAAACTCCGAGGGTATGACTCATAACAGCCATCTTAATATCTTTTAAAAACTCACTAATTACTCCTTATAATATCCTCATGAACATGCTAAATATGATAAGTTCTAGTCATTTTACTAGGAAACTGAGCTGCAGAGAGGTGAAGTGACTTGCCTGAGATTAAATGGGAAGTAAATGGCAGAGCTCGGAACAGAGTTCAGGAGTCCTGCCCTGCAAATCTGGTGTCAGTCCATTTCCCCGGGACCACATTTCCACTTGTATTCCAAGGATAACCATGGAAACGTGATAATGTCGGAGAGAAAAGTCCTTGAATCTCCAAATACAGATGAATATAAAACACTGTTCCTAAGGCCCACGAAAGCTTATGCTCCTACACTTCAGTTAGTCTCTAAGGTGCCACAGGACTCCTCGCCGCTTTTTGCAGATTCAGACTAACACGGCTACCCCGCTGTTCCTAAGGGTACGTCTACACTACACATCAAGATTGAAGCCGCTCTGTCAATCTTCCAGCGTTCAAATTAGCGGGTCTAGTTAAGACGGCTAATTCGAAGTGAAAAGGGCACTCCGGTCGATGCCGGTAAGCCTGCTTTCATGAGGAGTAAGGGAAGTCGAAGGAAGAGTGTTCTCCCTTCGACTTCCTGCAGTATAGACAACACCAAAGGTGGAGTTAAGCTACTTCAATTTCAGCTACCCAATTAAGGTAGCTGAAGCTGCATATCTTAATTCAACTTTTCTGTCCCAGAGTGTAGACTTCAACTTCAACTTTTTGTCCCAGAGTGTAGAGGTACTCAAACAGATCATCTAAATAACCCACCCACATTACTTGTCCCCTTCTTGTAGAATTTAAATTCTGGAAGGTGAATTTAATGGATGCCATGGTTAAGGTCTTTAGGAGAAAACAGTTGCTACTCAATCTGCTCAGTTTATCAAAGAGAAGACTGAGAAGCGACTGATGAAGTAATACAAGTACTGTCACAGGGAGATTACAACAGGTACTTATGGACTCTCTAATTTAGAGGAGAAAGAACTGCAAGAACTAGGATAAGATGTTAAAGCCTGACAAATTCTAATGAAAAGGCACAAGTTGTGTGCCAGTGAGGGTCTTTAATCACTACCAAGGGAACTAGTGAATTCTCCATTTTTTGTCTTCAGATTCAAACTGAAGGTCTTTCTGGAATATGTGTTGAGCAAAGTTATTGGGCTCCATACAGGGATAATGGGGAAATTCTGCATTATGCAGGTAGTCAGAGAAGAGGATCTAAAGATCCCTTCTGGTCTTAAAAATCCATGTATACAGAAGAGGCCCTATTAGGTTTAATAAAATGTAAAGAAATAAGTTTAGACAGGGGACAGAGAGTGGCTGTAAATTGCTGCAGGGGGCAAGGGAGGGAAGCAGAAAGAAAAATAAGAAGAGAGTCTGGGCGGAGGAGGCTTGCTTTATTTTGAAGGGTTTTCACTTCCTTTCATAAACACCTTCTACATTTTTATTGTGACTCGTTTGTGGGTTTGTTCTGTCCATTTCTTCCATCCATTAAAAAATACTTCGTTATTTCTTGTGTCTACAACAAACACATCTGAAACTGCTCCACTTTGAATAATTCTGTTTATTCACCCCCAGGAAGAGTGCCACTTAAGTTACCTAGGTACCTTTCAAAGGGTTTGGACAGTTTTTACTCCAATATAATTTCCACAACTTCAGCAACCTTCATCATTAGGCTGCTTTCGCACTGCAGTTGCCATTAAACATCCGGTATGGCTGCCGTTCACGTTGACTCTAATATACATTGAAAGAAAATTCTCTGAAATGCACTTATAACCCCCCCTGCTCCCATGCAAAAGCTTTACCCTCCCCATAGCCTCCTAAAACCTATGTAGCGTTCCCCCAATGGAGCCTAGATCAGTTTTTCCAGCCAGGCATTTTCTGCTGTTGTGTCATCGACCAAAGAACTCACTTGGCATTAGCTACATATTAACATTCCCTGTATGTTATTTTGCAACCACATTGGGACGAGACCCATCAGTTCATGATTTGTTAGCACACTGGGAACCCCAAGCAGCCAGTATTTCACTGACAAATGACCTTTTACACCGACCACAGTTGTCAATGGTGGGTCCTGGACTCATCTGAATCCAAGTCTCAGTCAAGTATTAGACAGATGCACCATGCATTACTTACAGACTTACTACTTCTTTATTTTCACAGTTAGCTGTTTGGTTTTGCTTTGCATTTTTTTCAAGTTCATAAACTTTGTAAGATTGTTATGGAAAACATTAATTTATTATTAAATCTACTCAATCTCTTTCAAAATGGAACAACCTTTTCTTTTTGATTTTCATTTACAATTAGTTCCATTCTGCTTGACTAGGTTTTTTTTCCTATTTATAGCCAGCACATTTTTTTTTTTAAAACATGGATACAGTACATAGGTAATTTAACTAATGGAAAAATATATACATTTCACTCTGTAATGAAAACCTTAAATGATATTATTGCCATAGAGGATATATCCCTGTATTATAATAAAATATCAAGCAATAAACAACTGCTAAGATTTCTTTTCCACCAACAACACAAAAAATAGCACCATACATAAGATAGTGAGAATCTATACTCAGTAACACAATTGTGCAACTAGAAATGTACAGTACTTTAGGAACAGTACAAAGAGTGTTGTTTACACTATGGAAATACCACCACAAAGAGTATCAGTCTCTTATGAACAACAACAAAAATACCGCCATGGCTACACTGAAATAAACAGCTTTCTTTTCCACTGGTATGCAGAAAATGAGGACAGAGCATAGCTGTAAATTCATAGTAAAAGCACCTATAAAATGATATAAAGCAAAAGTGCAGAATTAAACATTGTTGCTATTTTGGGCCATTACTAAATGGGAGGGGATTTAGAGTAATCAGCAGATCAAGTAATACAAAGGGGGGGTTTCTTGTGTCATCCGTTTTTAAGCCATGAGTATTTCTGCTCAGAAATGAACGGCACAGCTTGGCCTGGCGATTTTTGCACATTCAAAAGAAATCCTTCCATTAAGCTAGCAGATTCATGTGCCACTGCAGGGATGAAAACTTGGGGCCTGACCCACATGGACATCACTGGGAGTCTTTCTATTGACTAGATAGGGCCCTGAGGAGGTGAAAAAATTCCCACTACTTAAGAAACCCATTCCTTACCACTCGGAAGAGAATGAAGGGGTCTGAGGTAAATCCCACAACAGCATGACCTCCAACACGAGCAACGTGCTGTTGTAAACGACATGCTAGGATGTGGCATTTCACAGTCAAGCCACTTCGTGAGCTGAAATGTCATCCGTTAAGAAAACACCAAACCCCTAACGGGGACACAAATCACGTTACAACGGGGGCCATGAATGGCGGAGAGAAGTGTGTGTCAACGGGCTGGGGGAAAGGTACATCTTAAGGGACTGGATGGGAAGAGTATGCTAGGAAAAGCTACTAGCAGGTCTTACGATAAAGTTGGCGCTCTCTGCTTTATCTGATACCTCCGTGCACTCTCTCGTTACTTGCTTATCTACCTACTCTGTTAATTTTGTTTTTCACACCATGGGATCAACCAGCGACATTCTCTCCCACCTCTCTTTCACCATTAACAACACCATTTTATAGGAATTACGCTACTGGATAATGTAACATAACTATCTATGCCTCCTCTGAATTTGGACCCTGGGTTAGAAGCATGAGGAAAAGGTTTGATTCAGATTTTAAAAGGAATTTAGCAAAAGTGCCACCAGCAGGGCAGCCAACAGGACTGTTGGGGTCCTGGGCAATGTGGGGAAAGGGCGAGGTGCCTGGTTCTATACTCTTGGAAGGGGCGGGGCATTGGGTAAAGGGGCGGGGTTGGGGCAGCCAGCCCTCAGCACTGCCCGGAATGTGCAGTGCCCTCTCCTCATCCCCCAGCTGACCCTCAGAGCCAGCCAGAGCATGCCTGGTGCTCTGGTGGCGATGTAAAGTGCCCAGGGCTCAGGCCACTGGATTGTCAGGCCCCAGGACAATTGCCCCTTAAGCCCCCCCATCAGCAGGCCTGGCCACCGGTATAACAACAGCTACCAATTTAGAACCGTTTCCCTGGCACATCTATGTGAATATAGCTCTCTTAGGGCCAAGCACTTACAGATACCATGTGCCTTTCAGCATGCTCAAGGCGCTTGGCTGCACGAACGTGCAGTTGCACAAGCAGACACACATTCTGCCCCTGCAAATGTGGATGCCAATGCAGTTACCAGTCTGCAGATGGAAGTTAGAGTCTGATGTCTGAAAGCTCAGCTCTTAATAAACCATAACGAATTATTTCACCGAGTTCCTGGATCCTGGCACATTCTTAATAAGTGAGAAAAAGATGTTTAAAAATCGTAAGTACTAAATGCCTTTATCCCTTAGCCTGTGAGAGCAAAACAATAATAGCAATAACACAAGAGAGAGGCATGAGCCGCAATGCTCACATTCCCATCCAGACTTCCCCAATGTTCAGCAAGGGGACTGGATCTTCTCCTGTGTCCATTTCCACAGCATAAATATTAATATGTGTCTCTTGAGTGAGTATGAAGCTATAATTCACCTTTCTGGCCCTGCTGATGTCTCAGCGCCTAAATGCCACCTCCCCACAGCATGCATGGCAGCAGAGCTTAGCGAGGGAAAAGGATACACGTCTGAGTTAGATATGGCAGAGCTACATTGAACTGTGTGCTGTAACATTCAGGGAACCACATTCTGCTGTTTGCACAGCACTTTCCAAGTGTCCTGATAAAAAGAACACCGGGCAACAAAGCAAAGGAGACAAGATTGAGTGTGAAACCCTGGCCCTACTGAAGACAACAGGAGTTTTGGCTTCAATTAGCCCAGAATTTTACCCTGAAAGTCTACTCACTGCTCTCTTTCTATACCAAAAGGATTTATGCTTTATACGCCTCAGAGAGGGGAAAGGTCCATTTGGTCTCTCAGTCACCCTCTTCAAGTGCTATTCTGAGCTCTCTTTCTGGTATGTGCAACACTAGCTGGTTTCACAGTACCCGTAAGAAACAGCATTCTGTCTCACCCTCAGACTGAATCCCAAAAAATTGGAAAGAGGAGGTCAAGCAACTCCTCTCCAACAAACCCTCTATATTCAAATGATTTCCAGCTATTTCCCTCTCATGCATGTGGTTCTGGCTTAAAATTAACTTTCTGCTCTTAGGTTAATTAGCTTCCATTTCTTTAAACTCTTTGAGGAGACTAAGGCATCATAAAAGAAAGCATATGTGTTTTTAAAAAAGAGAGAGGAGGGTATGTTTGCAGAACCAGACAGGAGAAGGAATTCCCAATTAGTTTTTTTTAAAATTACATTAAATGGAATGTTGGATAAAACTGCTCTGAGCTTTCTGCAGAAATTTCAGAGACATCCATCCTCTGCTATCGGTTTTCACAAGCTTTTATAGCAAATCCCCCTTTTAAATTAAGCATTTCATTTGTGTGCGTCCCTCCAAGCCCACCCCGCAGCATGCTAACTGCTGGGAATTAAGAGCCTGCGATGGAAGCCAAGGCTGCAGTATTAAGTAATGTCTGCACGTTTGCTGAGTTATTTGCCAGAGGCTTTCCCCCACTGAGGTACACATGACCTTAGTCAATTTAATCACTTTACAACTCTCGTCCTTTTTTTTTTTTCCTCTTCAAAATGGTAGCGAGCCATCCAGTGGCTGGTAATATATTAAAGTAAAAAGCATTAATGAAAAACGTAATGATGTCAAAACACAATAAAATTCTATGCGATTGGCTCCTTGAGATGATTCTTTCGTAAGGTGGACGAGCGGATGCCTTTGGTACTGCCAGTCTGCAGAATTTGTTTCAAGTCTCATTTGATATGCTTTGGAATCCACCACTTTGTAATTCCAGTACTCAGACCCTACTAGTCTGTGATTTACATACAAATGGCTGGGATACCCTAAGAAGCAGCACCGATTCATTAACTCTTCTGCAGCATCTTATTTGCGTAAAAGTCTCTGCATGTCTGGCAGCAGCGTTGGTACCATCTCATGTCCTGGCACAGGTTCTTCTCCCGGATCACCCTGCAGTACACTGTCCACTGGTCCCCTGTGCACTTGTATGTGAGAGCAGCTTCGGACAGAAATAGAAGAAGCCAGCACGTTAGAGAGAAGCAACCCCTGTGTGAGCAAAACAACCCCAGCAGCATATGAGGGGAGAGATGGCCTATGGCTGTGTCTACACTGGGAAGGTTTGATGACAAAAGTGCTGTCGACATGCAGAAGTTGCCAAAAGTGAAAACCGGTCAAACCAGTTTTTCTGCTTCCCATTGTCCACATTTCATGGCCAACATTGCTAGCACCCTGTGGATAGCAAAGCACTGTGGGAAAGCATCCCACAGCACAGTGTTGAGCTGATCCCTGTGCTTCTTTGGACGCTTTCCTAGCTCTGCGAGCTCTCCATGCTGAAGAATGTCAAAGCAGCACAGCTGTCTCTCCATGATCCCCCTGTAGGAATAGTTTGCCTGTTGCTGTCTTTCTAGTGCAGGGCAGAACAGGAGCATCCCAAAGATTTGTTCTCTGTTCTCCAAATGGAGCGGCTCACACAGCTGTCAAATACTTCCTGCAGCTTTGAAAGGGAAGGGGCACATGCCTGCAGGGCAGCAGAAATCACGAAACACTGAGCACAGCCATCAGGGCAGGCACTGTGGGATACTGGCTCTTTGTCAACAATAAAGGGAGGGGAAAAGACAAAAGTCTCTCGCAGAGTGTACGTTTTTGGGCACCTAAACTGGGTATTTTTCCCAACAAAAGTTGCATTATAGTGTGTGCACTCTCACTGTTTTGTCAACCAAAGGCCGTTTTTGGTGACAAAACGTGCCCGTGTAGATAAGGTTTAAGTTGGGGGGAGGCATGTTTTATAGAATTTGGGTCACATGCTTTATACTCCAAGTAGGGTTGCTGCTGAAATGATCAGCCAACAGGACCAATGCAATGGGAAGTAGCTACCATGGAGAAGAGCATTGCAAGCAACAGCTGGGCATATGCTTGTAGACCCTTAGGAATTTTCACCCTGGATCAGACCACTTCTTACACTGTCCTGTTTCTAGCCTTGACTGAGCAAAGCACATGCAGCACATGCTTTAACTTCCAGCAGGTGAAATGTCAGCGGGGCTATAAACATGCGTAAAGTGACGTACGTGCACAAGTATCAGATACTGCAGCAACAGGGGAAAGAAGCCTTGTAATGGAAAAATCACGAAGGAGGCTGCCCAGCAGTGTTTCCTGTAAGCTGAGCACTTGGGCGGCCACCCAGGAGAGATTCAGGTGCCAGCTAGCTGATAAGCAGAGCGCCCATAGCTGGCAGTATGTATTACGGGTGGTGCACATCCGCACATGTGGCAGTGCCTATAAGAACATTTATTCCGCACACATATGGAGAACATTAAAGGCAACAATGCTGCCTAGCGTATTTAGAACAGCCTGGGCAGAGGGGCAAAGGCCAATTCAAAAATCAATGTGTTAAAAGCCAGATTCACAGGGAGAGAAAAGCGGGACATTGGAGCCACTTGCGGTCATGCCTAGCAATTACAGGACGTCCTTGCTGAAAGTCCAAAAATGTGGACTTATAGCGAAACAACTTAAAGCAGGGAATATTTTTCCTGTGACTGACTTCTCTTTGCGCAAATGGTTGTGTGCTTTTTTTGCACGTGACTTGAGAGCAGGGAATGGGAGGATTCAGAATGTTCCTACAAGCATCCACGACTTTAGTGCGGAGCGGATGTCTACCGGGGCGACTTACAGCAGGGACGCCCTGAACAGTGCAGGGTGAGGGTGCAGTGCAGCTCCCCTTTTTGGGATAAATACTGCAATCTTCTACAGCCATGGAGTGCCATTTTCAAAAGTGCCTAAGGCCCTGATGCTCAAAGACACCGAGGACCCTACTTTCCACTGACATCGATGGGAGTTAAGCACCTAAACGCCACTGAAGAGCTGGGCTTAAGCTGTTTAGGAGGCTATGTCCCAGTTTCAAATGTGGCTCAGGCACTTAAGATTGAATTTAAAAAAAATCAACGGGGCGTAGGCTCCTATATGCCTGAGTCACCTTTGAGAAGGGGAGCCAAGTTCCTACGTCGCTTTGTGTATGGCTGCACTGCAACGAGACGCCCGTGACTGGCCTATACCAGCTGACGTAAGGTCCTGTTTAAAGGTGGTGTTGCTCAGACTCAGCCTAGAACTGAGGCGCTGGGACCTCAGGCGCGGGGGAAGGTCCTCAAGGCCAGGCTCTGGCCCGAGCCTGAAGGGCTACACCACAGTTAAACAGCCCCATAACCCAAGCCCCAACAGCCTACGTCCATTGGCACGGGCCAGCGGCAGGTGTTTAAATGCAGTGCAGACAGATCCTTAGCACTTCTGAAAATGTTACCCGGGGTCAAAACTATTGCAGCCTAGAGCAGTGACCAGGCAGCATTTTCCAATGGCCATCACGGATTATTTGCATCACCATAGCTCCTAGAAGGCTTAGTCCTGGTCAGGATCTCGCTGTACCAAGTGCAGTATGACCCCAGAACAAAAAGACAGTCCCTGCCCCAAGGGGCTTAGGGTCTAATTCTGGAGGGTTTCTGAAGCATACTGCCGTATATTCCTGTACAATTCTTATTAATGAGGCTTATATACTGGGAAATAAAAACATCTCTTTAAAGATAACTAAAGCATAACTTGTTTATCCAGAAGAAAAGCAAAATGCTCAGTGCTGATAATTGGTAGATATTTTCCTTGATCTCAAGTATCATTGTTGCTGCCATCAGTGATTCCTCCTAGGCAGGTTCAGAAACATAAGCATCCCAAATTACTTGCAGATCACTTGCAGGGACGTGAAGGGCACAGCTCTACTCAGCTCTGCTTTGGGCTGAAATGTGAATGAGAAGAGATTCCTCATCTCATTGGTGGGTCAAAGACTTATTCTTCAAATGAAAAGATTCCCCCGTGACCCCCCGAGCTAGGACTTACTGTAAAGTGCTAACTTTTCTGGGAAACAGACTCATTTTTCTTTTTCAACAAAAGGATTTAGAAGCATTTTGAAGCTCTTTGGCTGGACCAGCGACATTCTGAGTTGCACTTTTGTCACAGAGAAGAAAATGTATCCTGTCGTATTTTAAAGAGCTGCTATTAAAAGTACAGGCTGAACCTCTCTAAACCAGCACACTCTGGTCCAGCAACATCCGGGGGCTGGCAGGACCATGGATGTTTCCTGACCAGAGGGTCCCAGTAGAGGGCTGGAAGTAAGAGCCCTGTGGGGGCCGCAAGCCCAGCTGGGCTGGCTGCAGGGGGCCAGCAGCTGAGAGCCCTGCTGCGGCAGTCTGGCTGGGCTGGTGGCAGGGCAGATGGAGCATCAGAGGGTTCTGGCAGGCCTTTTGGGAACTGAACTACTGCGGCAAGGCTGGGAGTCTGTTAGGGCAGCAGGGGAACCAACAGGGAGGCCAGCAGCTGGGGCGGGCTGATGGCAGAGGGGTCATAAATCACCCTTCCTGGTCCGGCAAAAATCCCTTATTCAGGACTGGTCAGGTCCCAAGGGTGCCGGACCAGAGTGGTCCAACCTCAATTACGGATGCTAGGGAAACAAATTCTCGCTTAGAAGGCTCACGATTAGTTTTATGAATGGTCCTACTCTCAAAAGTGACTTTGTAAAAATAGCTCCCTTCCTACTAATCAGAGCCGCCCTCGGTGTGTGTTTGTAGAAGCTGAGGCACTGACCTTAGGGCCAAAAATAAACAGTGCTGCTTCTTACGTCTGGGAGTCCTGCACAGTGTGAGAGTGAGGGCTGGGTCCTTTCTGGGGCCCCCATCAGCAGAACTGTTTAAAGTCCAGCCAGTGGCACTGGAGGAAAAGGGAGTGCACTGAGGCCACGAACAGAAGGCAGTGGCATTGCACCAGTGTAGTTGATGACCTAATGTATCCTGGTGACTAGAGATGTATAATCCCAGTTAACCTGTTAAATGTTAGGTTAACCAAACGTTTAACCTAATGTTTAACTGGTTAAGCAACTAAACGGGATTCTGGGACTGTGCTGGGGCAGGCTGCTGGCTCCCCCTGGCTCCCAGTCCCCCACCAGAGCAGCCTGTCTGGTGACTGCGGATGCCGGGCCTGCTGCAGACAGTTATGATATTTTAGCAAATAGACAATTTATTACCAGCAGCCTCATCTCAGCAGGGCAAATAGGGGTGTAGACAGGAGTGGCCCGAGGCCAGCTGCAGCAGCTAGCGCCCTAGGCTGGGTGGCGCAATCGGAGCCCCTGCCTGAACGGCCGTGATGTCATCATTGGGTGCCCGGGCCAGTGGCGCCCTAGGCAGCTGCCTAACTCGCCTAGGCTCACGGGCCGCCCCTGGGTAGATAATTAAGGGGTCGGGGAAAAAAGTAAAACTGGAGACTCTCACTCCTTTCCCCCTACCCAGTCAGATTTCACCCACGTCCCATTCTTAAGTCAGCAATTAATTTGGGAGGGATCTGTTGTCCCACCAAAAAGAACCACCTTTCCAAAAAGCTACAAACCTGGAAAATTCTACTTGTCAAGATCAATTTTTTTTGGAAAGGGGAATGGAATCTTATTGCACTTATCATCACTTATCGTAGTGAGAGGCAAGTGAGATTTGCCCGGCTTTTCCATTTCAATTCATTTTGCCAACCTGATGAACTAAGGAAAATGCCACCCAAATCTCTAACATTCTCTGCTTACCCCATCCCACCATCATGTGACAAGGTGTTTGAAGCATGGAATGGGGACTGGGTGTGGGTGAATGCCGGCGCCCAACCCCTTCTCTCGGAGATATGCCTGCCTGCTCCGATTGGTCAGTCCGGGAACGTGGCTCTAAGAGTTCTGGCCTGGCAGAGCTGCGAGGCAAGCGGAGCTATGAAGAATAAAGAATCTTTCTGCTCTGGAACATTAATTGCTCAGAGATTCTGATGGTCTCCATGCTTCTGTCTCTGGTGAGCTATCTAGAACAGGCCTGGGCAGAAATAAGGCCCGCGGGGTGAATCCGGCAAGCCAAGCCACTGGATCCGGCCTGCAGATGCAGTCGGGAGCCCCAGGCAGACTCCCTGCTTATCTCACCCCACTCGCACACTGCTCACAAAAGTGGCTGCCGGCTGTTTTGCTTTTAAAACTATGAGCCCGGAGAGGAGGTGGGGAAGACTTCAGTGCTGTCCCCGCCCCCAGCACAATCCCATTGGCTGGTTTCTGGCCAGAAAACAGCTAATGGGAGCTACCTGTTTGAATAACAGGCAGCCATGAAGCATCACAACCCCCCCCCCCTCCGGCTCATAGTTATTTATACATGCACATGGCCCAGCAGTCTGTGTGGGGGCAGGGCAGGCAGGCTGCCTGAAAACATGCTGCTCCGCTGGCCAGGAGTCACCCAGGTAAGTCTCCTGTCCAGAGCCTGCCTCTGGCACCTCAGCTCCTCCCTTCCACAACCCTCTGCCCCCACTCCCTCTGCCCCCCTGCTCCTATACCCAAACTCTCTGCACCCCTCCTGCACCCATATCCCCTCCCAGATCTGGCATCCCAATCCCCTGCCCAAATCACAATTGCTTCCTGCACTAGGACACAAACTCCTACACCTCAATCCCTAGCCTTAGGTGACAACCCAAACCCCTGCACCCCCTTCAGTACCCAAATCCTCTGCCCTAGGTCACATCCCAAACCCCTGCAACCCAGTCCAGCGCCCCAGTCACAACTGCCTCCTTCGCCCAAGCTCCCTCCCAGACCCTACACACCCTCCTGCATCCCAGTCCTTTACCCCAACCTCCCTTCTACATACAACCTCCACCCCAGGCCCCACACTTCCTTCATTAATATGATGGAAGGGTGCGGCCCGCAATCACTTACCAAATTCTTGTAGTGACCCCTCATAAAAAATTACTGCCCACCCCATCTAGAAACTTGTTTTGGTAACATGCAGCCCAAGGACTAGGTTTCCCAGATATCAGGGCAGGATATAGGCTATGGCATTTCATGGCTTCAGGTTGATTATTTAACCTCCCCAAGAAGTGTAGCTCCTCACCCCCCACTCACCAAGTCTGGGCGAGGTAATTGTGTTGACGTTTATCTTCTCATTGCAGGCCTCTTGGTGGCACTGCCTGTAGGCTGCTGGCTTGGAGAGGATGAGGCATTCGTTGCCATGGCGGCCGGTGACTTTGTGCATGCACTGCACCACACGTGACTGGAGGCCCTTCCCGCATGTTGAGGAGCACTGGAGAAGAGAGGGACACCTTAGTGCAGAGGTTCTCAGCCTATTTACCACTGTGGGTGGCATATGCAGCTCCGTGGTACCCGGCTCGCAGCTGCTCGGCACTGAGGCTGTCATATAGGCTATGTCTAGACAGCTTTCCTCTTCCAAAAGAGGAAATGCAAATGAGGTGCTGATTAGCATTTTCTTGCACTTCATTTGCATATCTTCTTTCAATCCTTTTTTTCGGAAGAGGTTTTTTTTGTTTTGGTTTGTTTTTTTTAAAGTAGTCTAGATGGAGGTTTTCAAAAACTCCCTTTTTTGAAAGAACCTTTCTTCCTCAAAAAATGAGGTTTACAGGGTTCTTTCAAAAAAGGGAGATTTTGAAAACCCCCATCTAGACTACTTTAAAAAAAACAAACCAAAACAAAAAAAACCTCTTCCGAAAAAAAAGGATTGAAAGAAGATATGCAAATGAAGTGCAAGAAAATGCTAATCAGCGCTTCATTTGCATTTCCTCTTTCAGAAGAGGAAAGCAGTCTAGATGTAGCCTACATAGGATGCAGCTGGGTGGTGCTCGGGCCACGCCAGCCCCCGTGGCTTGGAAAGGCAGACTAACCACCAAATCAGTGACCGGAGTAAAGGGCACAGTGAACCCACAGCAAAACTCTGCCCAATAGCCTCGACAACGGCTAGCAGCATGTCCTTCAGCTAGTACGTTTGCCCCTGTGGAGGCTCCAGGCTGGATCACATTCACTAGGCCTGTGTGCAGAGAGGCGCACCTGGCTATGTGGAAAGGGGGTGGGCAACTGCCTTTGTGGCACCATTCCTCCCCCCCTTCCTCCGCCTCCTCTTTCTCTGGGTCCACCTACACAGCACGAGCAGCAGGCCCCCCATCCAGAGTCAACACCTGGGCTAGTGGGGCTTAGGGGAGTGCTCTAAAATAGCTGTGTAGCTGGTGTTTTAAATTTCCGCTCAGGTTCTGAGGCTGTAGGTGGGGGGTGGGCTTCAGAGTGCCGTCTGTGCAGCGATGTCCAGCGCGTTACAGCAAGGGCCGCTACTCTGAGCCCGCCAACTCGGGCGGGGAGGCTCGCTTCGGGGGGGCTGTGTGGACGTACACGTATCCGGCAGCAGGGGGCGAGTCAGGAGCAGGCAGGCTCGCAGGAGCTGGGCTGGAGCTAGATTGTTAAAAAGAGCCATGTGGATGCTGCAGCTCTAGAAGGTGTTTGGGTTAACCACCCGTGAGGAGACCCGGGGGGTTGGGTGGCATTGAGAGCCCGCGTTGCACCACCTAGAGCTGAGATAGCTGAGATAACATGAGTGTCTACCCAGGCTGCTTAGGTAAGCGCCTCCCGGCTACAGCCTGCCTCTGGCACCTCAGCCCCTTCCCCAGGCCAGAATCTTCTCCTGCAACCATACCCCCTGCCAGATCCTGTACCTCAATCCCCTTCCCCAGGTCACAACCCCCTCCTTCACCCAAACTTCCCCTCAGACCCCACACCCTCTCCTGCACCCCAGTGTCTACTGTGAGCTCCCTTCCGCACCCAACCTTCATCCCAGACCCCACAGAGACCCCATCGCCTCTCCATACAAAAGTGAAGCCTTTGACCACTTACAAAAATCTTGGGGTGGCTCTCCCCATCAAAAGGATTGCCCACCCCTGCTCTAGGGGAACACTACTGGCCGAGTTTCTAAGGGCGACCTCCCCACCATGCGAGAGTCTGTCCTTCACAGCACACCGTGCTCTCTCAGAGGGCATGGCTCTACAGAACAAAGGACTGCACCAGAGGTGGGCACCCCGAGCACTCAAAGGCCTGTCCTGTTGGGCCCACAAAGGTGGCAGTGTGTCAGTACACCAGAGGAAATATCATCTATCCAAGTATTCAGCCCCATCTATCCCTGCAAATCTCTCTGGCGCTAGTCTGCCTTCCAGGGAGTCCACTGGAAATTGCTCTCCACTAGTTTGGCTTTTATTTTCCATGGAAGGAGAGGCCCATTTATGCATTTTCTTTGTTGTCATGCAATGGGCACCTCCCCCTCCCCTTTCCTCCTGCCCCACACTTGTGGCTGACAATGTCCTTTTCGCAAGCTGAGCAACTTTAATGAAGTGAATGCAGCAAGGAGAGTGTGGTGCCCCAGCTGGAGTTAATAAAAGACCATTGTATTTAAAATAAAGAAACAATGGGTTGGTTGCAAGCCTTTGGCAGGGGGCCTATGTCTGCTGGTGCCACACACAAAGAGGGCAGAAGGGGGGAGGGCATCTGAGGTGATGCTGGGAAGATATGGCAAAGGGCAAATTGAGTCCTCTTTGGGTTTCTTGAGCATTGCTGGCGTGGCACAGCTACCCCTGGCCAAGTGCCAGTCAGGGTAAAGATACTCACTGTCAAAGCGCAACAGTTAAGAAAGTCAAAAGAAGGATACACTTCAGGTGGGATGAAGACATAGGGATAGAAAGACTGATTGACAGAAGTACCATAAAAAACCAAGCCACTGCCTTAAACCACTCCCTAGAGTAGGGACCATATTGAGATGCACTGGCCAACGGGAGCCAAAAGAATTGAGATTGTTTAGTCTAGAAAAGAGAAGACTGAGAGGGGTCGTAACAACTTTCAAGTATCTAAAAAGGTGTTACAAGGAGGAGGGAGATAAAATTATTCTCCTGAACATCTCAGGATAGGACAAGAAGCAATGGGCTTAAATTGCAGCGAGGGAAGTTTAGGTTGGACATTAGGAAAAAACTTCCTGTCAGGATGTTTAAGCACTGGAATAAATTGCCTAGGGAGATTGTGGAATCTCCATCACGGACGCTATTTAAGAGCAGGTTGGACAGACACCTATCAGGGACGGTCGAGGTGGTGCTTGGTCCTGCTATGAGGGCAGGGGACTGGACTTGATGACCTCTTGAGGTACCTTCCAGGTCTAGTGTTCTATGGTTCTATACCTTACTGCTATGGAAATACAGCCCCTGCTACAGCCTGGAAATGGTACATGATGGGTTGCCTGACTTCCGTCTGCTGCAGAACTTCAAAGCAGAGTCCCAGTCCTGTTGTCCTGCCTGTGTTGCTAGAATCATCAGGTACTTCTGCTTAGAGAATGCCCAGCAAAAGGAATGCGGGTTGGTCCCCGGGTAGGAGTGCAAAGAGATTTTTTGAAGAAAGGCTTCTTAGACTCTCTCCCTTCCTTGCTGACCACTGAAGGGTGATTCAACCTGGCTTCAAGTAGAGCCATGGGAAATAGGCATGGTGAAGCAGTTCTTCTG